CCCGTCTTCCCAACTAGCTTGGAATCATGACTGTTGTGCAAGGGAAGTGTCGAAATAGGAGAAAGAAGGGAGTTACGAAACAAGAACAGAAGAAAGTTGGGAGTTTCACGTCTTTGTAAGCCGCTTTCTAGTGAAGTTGGGAGGTTCGGGTCTCTGTATCGGGTAGACGACACGGGAGGACGAGAAAAATGGGAGGTTCGGGTCTCTGTATGCCACGATCCTATGGTTGCTTTGCAACTAGCTCCACGAATGGATCTTGAGGTTGGATTGGAAGAGGGAGAAAAGTTGTGTATCACGCTCCGTCATATTTTAGAAATTGCATGGGATAAAAGGTTCTAGAGAATGTCAGAATATATAGAGACATCCAAGGGACTCTAAAAGATTCCACCACATTCTGGAGAATGCTAGAAGAAAAAGCTCCAAGGACAAACTCAAGAGTAACCTAGAAAGTTCTAGGGCTATGTATGTACATAAGAGAGGAGTGCAGAACTCTCTAGAAACTAGAATAATCTAATGTATTCTAGAATGTTCCCTTAGGGTTCGATGGGGTTATAAATAAGGGCCTCTCCCCCATTTGTAATCACCTAAGAAAGCATCCTAGGAAAGTTTCTAAGCTTTCAATTGTTGCAATTGTTTTTTCTTAGTGAAGTGTTCCTTTCTCCAATACTTCTCCATACTCTTCTTCTTAGACTACTTTGTGCTTACAATTCCAAGTGTTGTGAGAGATATTAGACTGATTTAGTACTAAAGGAGAACGCTAAAGCTGAACGGATGATTTGGGATAAGTTAGTCCGTGACAGTTGATATCAAAGAATCGGCTCCAAGGTATGACAAAAAGGATTTAAGAGCATGTAATGGAGTTTGAAATAACTAATGTGGAAACATCTAAACAAGGGCGAGGTCGTCAGGAGCAACGAGACCCAGCCGCATCCAAACCACATGGGAGGTCCAAGGAGATCATGCATGGCTTTGATTCACGCCTTGCTCGTGCGAAGGAGGCAATGAATGGCGTGGAGGCCCAGATAGAGGATCTTGGCCAAATAGTCGATAGACTCGAGGATGAGGACATCACCATCCATTCTACAATAAAAGGTATGATGCTCCAACTATAGGAGTCCTTAAGGGACCAAATGGCTAGGATGCGGGGGGACTTGATAGGGGAGCTCCAAGAAGTACGAAGAGCCCATGAAGAGATAAGCGACGTACGTGCTACTTTGGAGGAAATGTGCGGGGACATCTCGCTATGCAAGAGGGCACTAGCTACACCCACCAACCATCACACCTTCGAAGCTAAGAGGATTGAAATTTCAAAACCAAAGAGTTTTGGAGGAGCCCGCAATGTGAAAGAAGAGGACAACTTCTTGTGGGGACTCGAGCAATATTTCATAGCGATGGGGATCATGAAGAAGCAAGAATTCAATTTGCAGTTTTTAATCTCTCGGACATCGCTATGCTATGGTGGAGAAGAAGGCGAGGATGTGCGCCATATCTACCTTCGATGATTTCAAGAGAGAGCTTAAGACGCAGTTCTACCCAAAAAACGTGGAGGGGATGAGGCTAGAGCCCGATTACGAAGGCTCAAGCAAGAGGAATCGATTCAGGAATATATTACATAGTTCACTAACTTGGTCCTTGAAATCCTTGACATGTCAGACAATGACGCTCTATTCAACTTTATGGATGGACTCCAACAGTGGGTAGAAATCGAGCTTAGGTGGCGTGGAGTATAAGATCTTGCTACCGCCATCGCAGTTGCAGAAAGCTTGGTTGACTATACAAAGGAGTCCACAAAGCCAAAAGATAGAAAAAGTACCCATATCAAAGAGGGGGAAGATAAGGTTCAACATAAGGAAGAGACCCACCATGAATTGACTTCATCCAAAACGAAAGACAAATGGAAGCCTAGGAATGACAAAACAAATCACATAACAACTGCTTCCTTTGTGGAGAACCTCATCGGGCGATGGATTGTTCTCAGAAGAAGGCTTTGAACTCTCACCTTGCAAGTCAACAAGAGGAAGAGGTAAGAGATAGCACAGGTGGGTGCTATACAACTGTTGAATGGGATGCAAGCTCCGGCAAAACCCCAAGCGAAAGGGTTACTCTTTGTAAAGATGCTAATAGGCGGGAAGACCACAAGACAATGGTGGACACAGGTGCTTATATAACTTTATCTCCGCCGAGGAAGCAAAGATGTCGGGTTTGCAGATAACTAAAGGAGGAGGCTCCATCAAGGTAGTCAATCCAGTAGTAAAGCCAATCCATGGATTAGTCAAAGGAGTAAAGATCAGCATTGGAACGTGATCAGGTATCTTAGACTACTATGTTATTCCAATGGATGATTTTCAAATTGTCCTGAGGATGAACTTCTTGGATCAAGCAAGAGCATTCTCAATGTCCTTTGTCAATAGCATGTGTATCATGGAAGGCAACCAAGCTTGCTTAGTAGCAACAATAAGAGCTAACAAGAAAGAAGACAACATGCTATCGGCCATTTAATTCAAGAGAGCATTCCACAAGATAAGGGGAGTCACTTGGCAAAAGAAGTGGTGGAGACCCAAAAAGACTTGTCGAGGGAAGTGGTGGGGGTTCTTAAAGAACTACCACCAAGAATGGAGAAAGATCATCGGAGTAGGCTGGAGCAAAAAATCGAGTCGTCGGCCATGAAGTCTCACTGCATGGCAGCCCTCCCCCATACGACCAAAGAAAAACCCAAGTTTCCAAGAGAAAATAAAGGAAGCTGGTTCGAGTGCCAAGGGAAAGTAGCAATGAGGGCATTGCGAGGTTAAGTGAGTGAGAGTGTCACGCTCCGCCATATTCTATAAATTGGCAAGAAGGTTCTAGAGAAAGTCAGAATATAGAGAGGCATCCAAGGGACTCTAGAAGATTCCACCACATTCCGGAGAATGCTAGAGAGAAAAGCTCCAAGGATAAACTCAAGAGTAACCAAAGAGTTCTAGGACGATGTATGTACATAAGAGAGGAGTGTAGAACTCTCTAGAAACTAGAATAATTTTATGTATTCTAGAATGTTCCCTTGGGCTTGGAGGGGACTATAAATAAGAGCCCCTCCCCTCATTTGTAATCACCTAAGAATGCATCCAAGGAAAGCTTCCAAGCTTGCAATTGTTGTAATTGCTCTTTCTTAGTGAAGTATTCAATTCTCCGATACTTCTTCCTACTATTCTTCTTAAAGTGCTTTGTGCTTACAAGTCCAAGTGTTGTGAGGGATATTAGGCTGATTTAGTGCTAAATGAGAGCGCTAAAGCCGCACGGATGACTTGGGATAAGTTAGTTCGTGACATGCGGCTCATCACTGTGAGTCGTGATCTCGTAGGCATAGCTCTAATGGCGATTGCTTCGTGCGAGTGCAAAGCGGAAGAAGGTGATTTTCCAGTCTAGGTATGTCGTGATTATTCCCGGTTAGCTCCAATCGCAACTGTTTCACGAAGTGAAGTCATGGAATTGTCTGTATGTTTCAATCCTTCCCCACGTTGCAATCCTTCCCAGATAAAATTGCAACTATCACGCCGTTTCTTGTTGTGATGTCGTCATTGCCTTCTCCATAAGCTCGTGACTGTACGACGGTCCCAAGCTTCCCAGAAATTTTACTCTGATATAAATTTGATACAATCCAACCTCAAAATCAACACGTTTTTACATAGAAATTCGGAAAAACACAATACTTTCTTCAATAATCTAAATAACTAAGCAGAATACAAAAAATAAGCACCTACCATTTGAGAGATAGGCGATCTCTTCCAATTTCTACAATTCAAGAGGTAGGAAATCTCTCTCAAACCCTAAACCTAAGACTAACAATTCAATCTCATGCATAATACCCAAACCCTAAACGTAATAAGCCTCTTTATACCTAACAATAATAATAAAAATAAACTAAATTGACCTTAAGCATACAAAAGATTAAATTGCACTTAGGCTAGGCACCGGTGTAATAAAATCTTAATTAAAATAGGACTATATAAATAGATATTTTATGCATAATATTAAAATTAGTTTCAAGCTAAAAAAAAAGGTATAGACCATAGGGACAATGTGCTTTGTGTCATACACCATTGCCCATAAATAGAAAAAAAAACATTTATTTTAGCTCCTTGTGTCGTGTCATGCAAATGATGTCAGGGGTGCATTGCATCATGCACCATTGTACATGCCATTGCTGTTATTGCCATGCCTATAAATGAAGTGGGCTTGTTATAAATTTTAATTTATTATTTAGGTTTATAAAATGTAATAA